CTTGATCCTGCAGCGACATCAGCATGAGCTAGACACTTGTCGTGACTGTCCAGCTGTGTGTTGGTTGGTTACGTCCTTATTTAGCAAGGACATACGAAGTCCAGGGCTGAGTTCAATCTTAACTGAACCGGTTGAGAATACTCCTATTCAGAGTTATATTCTGAAACTTGATGCTGATCTTAAACGTCCAGATATAACAAAGGACAAGGCTCAGCGATGGTACAAGTTCCTGGTTATGCATGTTTTCTGTAAGAGCATAAGAAACAACGACCGTGAAAGTCTGTACACCGAGTTGCGACGTAAATACGCTACTGAGGCTCGAGACAAGGGACGTGAAACAAAGTTTTATCTATCCCGACTTACGTGGGAACAGCTTTATGATACTGTATCCACCCTTTTCCCCGCACACCGAGTATCCTCGAAGGGAAAGGCGGTAAATAAGAAACCGCGCGAGCTCCCTGATTAAGGATACCTCTCACGCCAGACGTCAAATGATAAACCTCATCAGACGCGTCCTAACCAGACACGTGCTCGCGACTCCACTCAATCAACGCGACCCAATAAACATGTACCAATTGAACCTAACACAGGGGTATCATCAAATGCAAATTTATGAAGCCCATCGTAAGTACTTTAGTTTTACCTGGAAAGGTAAACAATAAAGGTTTAGAGGTGCACCTTTTGGGTCGCACTCCTTACCAGCATTCTTCCAACAAGTTATGGAGGAAAAGTTTGCAGACATGCCTAACGTGCAAGTCTATATAGATGACATAGTCATTTTTTTTAAGACTAAGGGCGAACATGCCGCAATAGTCAGGCGAGTCCTTCAGAGACTCAACGAACAAAACTTCAAGATTAACGAGAAGAAATGTCACTTCGCCATGAGCGAAATACAGCTCTTAGGCTACCGTATATCTGGGGAAGGTATTAAAATCGACCCCGGTAAGGTGGAACACTTGTTAGATTGGCGAACACCAACTACAGGAAGAGATGTGAACAGCATGTGTGGGTTTGTAAACTTCTTTTCAGATGGAGTACCACACTTGGCTGATTATCTTAACCCTTTGAACACTTAAGATGTCATAAAGGTAAACCAGGAGACTTGTGGACTAAAGAGTGTAATGACGCATTTAAAGCGCTCAAGCACGCAGTCCAACAAGCCCCTGTTGTACAAGGACCAGTCGCTGGCGTGCCTATTGAAATAGTAACGGACGCATCAGACTTAGCACTCGGAGGTGTACTATACCAGGTTATAGATAATAAACCTAGGTATATACAATTGTTTAGCCGAGCAATGAATGCATCACAGTTGAATTATCCAACTGTGAAGCAAGAGCTACTAGCCATAGTAGCAGCTTTGACACACTTCCGCGAATATGTATACGGAACAGCTTTTACGCTGATGTGTGATCAGAAGTCCCTTCAATATATGAAGGAAATGAAGCCAGACTCTCAATTACTGAGCCGATGGCATGATACAATATCAAAGTTTCATTTTGATATCAAACATCTACCAGGGATACATAACCATTTACCGGATATGTTATCACGCTTTGTACCGGACTTTAATAAATCCGTACGTGGGTTACTAGCCACTGATTGGAAATGTAACCCCAGGTGGTTTGAACTGGCTCAAAAGATATTTGGGCACATACAGTTGACATGTTTGCTGCACATCATAACGCACAACTTAAGAATTACAGGACTTTAAATCATCCTTTAGTATATGCCTTTTAATTAGACCTCTCCGAACATAATGCGTGGGCTAATCCACCATGGCAGTTATTTGCCCAATTACTAAATTATGTTCATATACACAAAGCTATCATCACGTTGTGTTGCCCATTACGGAGTAAAGATCCATGGCTCAATACAAAATAAGCATGATACAATGCGAGCCAATATTTTAGATAGGGAAGTAGATACTTTCCTATATCAGGGTACCCGAGCCGCCCAGAAGAC